TTTATTCCATTCTTTAGAATTGGGAAATTTTCTGCTATTATATCATTGAAAGATTGTGCATTTCTTTGGTTTGTATCTCTGATCCTTCATTTACCCTGGTCTACCCCTTTCCCAGTGGGGCAGACACCGCCAGAGCCTAGCCTTTGTCACAGGACCACCCCTTCTGACCAGTACACTACCGATGGAGGTCAAGCCCAGCAGCCCAGATCCACCCACTCCAATATATGTAGGACCCAGACCCAGGATTCAGTAGCATTCATGGAGGGATACCATTAGGGTTTGGAAGCCCAAAATCAAGGTGAGGTACAGACAATCTGTACAGGTACTACAAGAATATAGGGAAGAAACTGTAATATCTCAGATTCACACTGCAAGAAAGGAAGACACATAGACAACATGAAAAAAACAAGGGAGGAAAGTGCCCCAAACAAACCAGGACACTATAATAACAGGATCTATGGACAGCAAAGTTGATGAAATGTCAGAGAAGGAGTTAGAAGGTTCATAATTAAAATGACCTGTGAATTAAGGAATGACCTAAATGAGCAAATGCAGGCAAAAATTGATCACTCCAACAATGAGATAAGAGAGCAAATACAGCTAGCAAAAGATTACTTCAACAGAGAGATAGAGACCCTGAAAAAAAAAACAGTCAGAAATGAAGGATACAATAAATCAAATTAAAAACTCAATAGAAAGCATAACCAATAGACTAGATCACTTGGAAGAAATAATGTCAGATAATGAAGACAAAGTACACAATCTGAAAAATAAAGTTGATCACACAGTGAAGACAGTTAGAAACCATGAACAGAACATCCAAGAATTATGGATCAGCACCAAAAGACCAAATCTAAGAGTCACTGGGATAGAGAAAGGTACAGAGTTTAAAACCAAAGGAATGCACAGTCTCTTCAACAAGATAATATCAGAAAATTTCCCAAGCATGAAGAATGAATTGGAAAAACCAAACACAAGAGGTTTACAGGATACCAAATGTACAAAATCTACACCAAGGCACATTATAATTAAAATGCCTAGCACACAGAATAAAGATAGCATCTTAAAAGCCACAGAAGAGAGGAATCAAATCACACATAGGGGGAGACCAATTGGTATTTTTCAACCCAGACCCTCAAAGCCAGGAGATCATGGAACAACATATACAAGCTCTGAAAGAAAATGGAGGTCAACCAAGAATCTTACATCCAGCAAAATTAAGCTTCAGATTTGATGACTAAATAAAAACCTTCATGGAAGGTTTTACAGTAAGAAAACCTGCACTACAGAGCATCCTCAGCAAAATATTCCAGGAGGAGGAAACGAAAAACCACAATAAAAATCAGCAAAGGGAGGACCTACACTAAAGGAAAGGCCAATCAAAGGAGAAACCAGGTTAATCTAAAAATCAAAAATAAACCAACATGTCTGGGAATACAAGTTTCAATAATAACCCTGAATGTGAATGGCCTAAACTCATCATTTAAAAGACACAGACTGACAGATTGTATTAAAAAAAAGACCCAACTATATGTGGCCTTCAAGAGACTCATTTCACAGGAAAAGACATCCACAGACTAAAGGTGAAAGGGTGGAAAAAAACATACCACTCACATGGACCACATGGACAAGTAAGATTTTCCATCCTCATATTAGATAAAGTGGACTTCAAACCAAACCTAGTGAAAAGGAATAAAGAAGGACATTTCATACTGCTTAAGGGACTTACACATCAACAAGATATAATA